TATATCTGCTGCAAACTTTAAAGTATGGTTTAGCTAAAAGAAGATAAATAATTAGTCTAAAAAGGGGCTAACGGCTAAAAATGATCATTATTATGATGACTACAATCATACGTTAGCTCTACTCCTGCAATGACTGGGATAATGTTGTTTCAAACACATCATGTTTTCTTGGAAACTGACACGAACACCATGTGCGTGTGCAGAAAACTTCACACCAATAGCTGGCTGCCATGTTGAGTCTCCCAGAGTAGCTGAGAACAAACCAGTAAGAGGCAAATATGTGGAGTTTGGAGTGAGACAAAGCTTGAGGGGGGGTTTCATAACCTCATGAGACATAGATGAGCGGATATGACATGGATGGATCAGGCAGTGTTTACAACCAAAAGTAACCTCTTCCAACCCAACTGTTGGGATTTGATTACAGGGATATGTTCATCACACACACATGAACCACTAGCTCAACCTCGTGGAATAATGCTTTGGATCTTGCAAGTGCTGTTATTATAAGAGACACCAACTATGATTTAACAACAAATCATGCTTCCTTTATTTCTCACCCCTGTTTGTTTGTTTTTTCAAAAATAAGGTGTCATATAATATATAGGACAGCATTATAGTTGAGCTTTACCTCTATTAAAGCACGCCTTTTCTTATTTAAACTGCCTTCCCATTTGGGTCCAACTGCCTGCCTTATCACTGACACCTAAAGAGTTCCAGTCAGATAATCTGCAAAAATAAAATCTGAAATAAATCAATGAGGATCAGTTTTTTTGATTGATCTGCGTTGTTGATTATTTGGTCCAGACTGAAATACAGTAACAACTTTTTAATTGATTATGATTACATATTGTACAGAGATTTATGATTTCCAAAGATGACTTTTACTGACTTTGGTAATCCCCTGAATTTTCTTTCTAATGTAAACACTAACAGTCAATAGTCCCATACTGTTTTATGATCAACTACGTACCAAACGACATTCCCATCAACCTTTACTTTGTGTTAAGTACTAATCAGCCAATGTTTTGCAGGCTTAAATATTAAACACATTTTTTTCTTGCAATATCCCTTCATAGTGCTCATACACTTTAACAAATAGCTAGCAGTGAGATGGAAGATGCTGTATCCAGTTTCAGTCCAACCAGCATAAACTCAGACAGCTTGGGATCCTTGTAATCCTCCAAAGGCAGAATTTAGCTGCAGTGACGTGTTTTTGTAACCAATGCAACACATTCATGTGTGAAATCATTACATATGCAGCGAGGTACGCCAACAACCACTTACAACTCTGTGGAATCAACCTGCCAACAGCTTGAAGTATCTGCAGAGAATCGCACACATTCAGCACATTTAAAAATACATATCAACGGGTCTTAAATACACATGCAAACTGAAGTGTGATTCTGAGAAAGTCACGGTTTATTGCGCAAATTACATTGTGGTTTGGTTTCTTTATTTGTTACATATGTGCATTTAAAAAGTATGGTGATGGATCCTTAATTCAGCTTTTGCATAAGTATGCAAATGTAGTGGGTAATACTCAATACCCAAAAAAGTGCAGTGTTCTTGAATGCAGCACAGGGCCTGACTCCTCCCCCAACCACTCCCCTCATTAGGGCAGGTATACAATGCACCTGTTGGCCTTTGTGGTTCCATTTGGCTCTATCTGTCATGGACGGTGGTACAGGTAGGCAGTCTATTTTAAAATGGATAAATTGGTCTCCTTAGTGTCTGCTATGTTATTCCAACTGTATACCAGTGATTGGTTAAACCCCAGACCTGCTGTGGTGAGTGGGCCACAACATCTAAATGAATTGTTTATTCTCATTTTTACCTGTTTTATCCGTTTTTGTAGGTTCACCTGCTGCTGTTTTCGCTTATGGTTTTTGTTTATGTTTTGTGTATAATGGATTTGCTTGGAGTAATTTTGTTTAGCTTTAGCTTCGGTTAGCTTTTAGCCTTTGCTTTGCTGTTGCTTTGCTTTATAGTTTGGCTCACTTCAGTCTCACTTATACCTTCTGTTTTGCTTTTGTATTTTGCTCCTGTTCACAAGGTAATTAAAGCTAACTGGGATCTGTTTGTTTGAATGTTGTCCTTTGCTTTTGTTGGAGCTGAATTTGGACTGGGCGGACATAATGATTAGACATCAAAACAGACCTGCAGAGTTTACGTACATGTGGAATCATCATATTCCCTGAGGAGAGTGAATACAGTTTTTAGAAATGCATGAAAATTACAAGAGCAGGTTATAAAAACAAATCTGAAAAACAGTTTCTGGAACATTTGACTGTGATCCTCTAAGCGGAAATGTCTGCTGGGATGGAATGTACTTTCTGATATAATCTACTAAACATTTCATGTGTATTTTACAAGCTGTCCTCTGGTGGCAGCAGGTAAACAGAGGGAAATGCCTCAAGGTCAGAACAAAGGAAGTTACTCTGATGTCTTTAATAACTAGTCTTAACAGGAAATCTCTCAAATTGTTAAATAACCAGAGCCATGAAATTGCATGACTTAACATTTCCTCGCTGAAACCCTGTTAAACCCCTATCGCTCAGTCTTCCTCCCATCTCTTCACGCCACCCTTCCTCTACCATGGTCCGGAACAATTGGCCCCTCTGGCTTACTGGCGCAACTGGTGGTCATGCATTTGGCTATTTGCGCTGACATGATTCACAGAAACCACAGACACCACATGCTCGAATGCAACATTGACTCATGTTCTGATTGTCTGACTCAACCGGGGGACCGTTGTGCAATCTCCTGGTTATGTGTTGTGGTGAGCTATCGGCGAAAGCAGACCACTTCATCTTGTGGTCTCAAATGTGTTTTCATCTTAACACCATCCTTCCTACACTACACTGAAGAAACAACAAATATATCCTTCTGTCTGAAAGTCACGCAAAGTGGCTAAAATAATTTGGACAACATTTTCAACAGGTAAGCATCACTGCTCAGTAGGCTCAGTAGGTTGGAGAATAGATCCACAATAAAGATCCACTACATGGTGTTTCTGGAGGTTTCAACCCTGAATGCATTATCACTGGATGAGTTTCCTCGGTTATCATAGTTTGATTGACATGCAAACTCAGAAACAAATTCTTAGAGGACTGTAGACATGTCATATTTAATGGCTTCTCAAGAGGTTTGACAAAAGATGCCCAGCTCAAAACTGCTAAATGTATAAGAAATGAAAAATAAAACTAAACAAGCTGCCTTTGCTCATGAAACTCATGTTTAATGGTTATAGTAAGAGGTAAAATGACTTCCATTTGGGATTATTGGATTGTAACACAGGGTTTAGTGGGGGGGTCACCTTGATGTAAATGTTTAGAGCTTTAAGTACAAGGACAGGCAGTAGGCAAACTGCTGAGCCATTGATCTCTCCCTGGACACATTTGAAATGCATTACATTATTTTGGCATAGCATCTCGGCATTGATCCAGAAACCTCTCAGCTGTGGATTAATAACCCCTTATGTTCATGATTTAAACTTAATAAGCACATGACAAACAACCTGTATCTTAAACTCTATTACCCATTTACCGTAGATATAATTATACACAGCATCATCCAGAGAGGTATTAACAGTCATTATGCACAGTTTCTCTGATGCCTGGCTCTAAAACACTAGATGCATCATCTGCCCCTGAAACCTTGTCATTTAGATGGTGTTTTTTGATGATAAATTGTAGAGAGCTTGTTAATCACAAGTGGCTGACCAGTGTTTTTAAATGACACAACCACATTTTTGGCAAACTGTAATCTGACAACATGATAACTAGCCTCACAAAACAAAAGAGCATCATCAGGGGAGGTAGCTGACATTTTGATGAAGGAATCTCCCTCTAAACTCCAGCAGAAAGTGAGCTGGATATGAAGCCTCAGCACCTGGGATGTGTTGGTGTTTGCTTTCCTGTCAGAGTGAGGAGGCTGCAGTCTGGCGCCTGCCTCCTTTCGTCCCATAACTTCAAGGACATCACATCACAGGGGAGCCAGGATGGAGGCAGCGTGATGTATCACTACAGTGAGCCTGACACCTATCCCATCTGAAGCGGCTATAGGACGCCTCATATTTCAGTGTAGAAGTGTCATAATGTTGTTTACTTCCCAAATAATGGCTCATTGATGTGATAATAGTTTATGACAGTGTTGTTTTCTTGGCTGAGTCTTGAATGTATTCTCTTAGAAAAGTGAATTTCAAAGAGACACTTTCCAGCAGGGGCTATCAGGCTTTCTGAGGGGCATAGGCAAACATATTAAAAAAGGGCACAGGATGCATTCGGTGGTTTACAAGCGTGTATAAGTCTTTTAAAGCATATGGCAGCCTAAATGGCACGGTTTACTTAATTTTAAGGCCACACTAGGATATATTACTCATGTTCTATCTACCAAATAGTCATCCAAAGATACATAGTTGTTGAATCAAGAAAAAGAAACACAAAATATGAAGGAATTTAACGTTCTGAGAGGAAAGGTAAGACTGAAATTCAAAAGAAAAGCTAGATATTTGGAAAAAAAAGAATTATTGACTTTCTCTGCAGCGTTAGAGAAGATTGATATGTTATGACAAACAATTACCAGTAGCTGTTTTACTTACTAAAATTGATATCTTCCAACATCATATCATTCCTTTTACAATTCAGTATAATTTATTGAAAAAAATGTTGTTCTTAATTGTGATTCTTAATACTTGGATGGAGTGAAAATCCCTTACCCTTTCAAAAAACTATCATTTGTCTCAGTAACATCCATATCAAGTAGTGGATTTCCCCTTGAAACGCGTGAAACAATTAAGCTACCCTGTTCCTTATCTTTTTTATTTTGCAGTGATTCATTTTGACCATATGGTTGTTTCTCTTTTCCCCTCTGATTGTATCTTCCGTCTACATTTTGGCATGATACAGTCAGTGCTTGTGTAATTTCCCTCGTCCTTCCCGATCTTTCCCTCCCTCTGCTCGCTCTCCGCCCCTCTGAGTACAGGCAGTGTGTTCCGCGCAGCGTGGACACACTTGGAGATGTCTCGGCAGCATTACGCACGACGACACGATACACGCTAGAGCCTCCGTTAGAAGGACAGGACACTTTCAATGCGTAACCGGACTAAGTCTTAACTTTTGTCTCGGAAAGCCCTTTATTTCCAGGCTCCTCATCACGTCTTTCTGATATTTTCCTGCCGGCGGCTGAAACTCGGATCCCCCTTTAACAACAACAGCAGTATTGGGTCTGGATGACTTTCCTCCTCGTGTCCTCGGGTCACTGTGACTGTAGTGGATTGGAAACGATGTAAACAGTTTGGGGAGGAAACAAACTCCGCAGAGCAACAGTTTCTTTTCCAGAGATCCCAAAAAGAGAGGATGATCCCACCGGCCAACATGATTCAGGACGAAAGTGGGGGCAACGAGGAAGATCAGGACCAGATTGAGACACCAAAGCCCCGACAACGGACTCCAGCCAGCAGGAAACCAAGGTAAGACTGTCTGTCCTCTTATTTACTATAACCACCATCCCCCGGGATAGACAGATCTACTGTGGGATCAGCATCAGTCCAAGTCTTATTAATAGAGCAGGGCAAACAAACTTCTTTCAACAGGACAATAAAACGGACTCAACAGGCAGCTAACACAAACCTCATCATGCGTGTAACTTTTTATCATTAACTGGCACGCCGATCTGCCTTTTAAAACACATCCAACAGCCTTAACTGTTTAAATTTAAAGAGGATACCATACCGATGACTTCAAAAATAATCAGCAGCTGCACAAATAGGACAGTAAACACATTTAAAGTGGCACGAAGAGTCACCACAGACTCATGAGGTAAACAGACCTCCTCAGGGTGTTACAGCATCATTCAAATACGATCATGATGTTGTACCTTTAGATATATTAGACTACTTTATAAACACATATGACTTACATAAATAGAGTTTATCTCCAGTTTAGATTCTATAACCTATAACTAATGGGGGTTTATGGTATTAACATTCATTGTTGCTACATAATTGATGATGGTAAGGCTATTTAAAGCCTCATGTCAGCCTACAAATAGGTTCATTGTGTTGTGGTAAAAGAAGCAATGCAATAGTATTATTTGTACACTGTACAGTAAGGGCCATTTGGGTTTGTTCCTTCTACTTGTGGCTGATTTAGGAAAGTAGGCTGTGTGATAGATATCCACAGCTGCCTCAGGCGTTTTGACATCTATTTGGGTCACATGATGCCCAGACTACTACAATTAGCATTCAAATATTGGACTAGTCATCATGTTAGTGGATGGCTATCAGCTCCCCTCTGCTGTCCCCAAAACGCCTGCACAGGACAGATGAGATGTATAAGTCTCTTCATTATTTTCCATCAGTTTGTGAACGGAAACTGTTTTTTGGTGGTGTTTTAACCGGAATCATAGACATGCTTTCCTCTTTGACTATTGTGTCTCTTAAAGCGTGTGCATGTGAGCTCTTTATTTGGCACAGCTGGTCACATTTTAAAAGAGTTCTTCTTCCTGGCTGACAACATTGCACATAAAGCTTCTGCCAAACCATAAAACTTCTTCTAACATCCAACGGTAGTAGAACATCGGAAAGACAAACAAAAGTGAGAGAGGAAAATGTTGAGTCTTCCTTACATGCAGTACAAGTAGAACGAGTTCCACTATAAGCTGAAAACGTTTTCTACCTTTTTAAGTGAAGCTCTGTTTGTGTTTTGATTCTTCCTTAAAGAATACTGTGAGGCCTGAACATCAGAAGCGCAAGGTGAGCCTCCACTCTTGTGTAAACTGTAGCGATCTGCTGATTTAGTCCATCATATCTGCATGTACATAAAGATAAAAGTTGTTTTGCGTTACAACTTTTCCTGCTTTATAAAATGGATCACCTAGTGACGTTAATGCCACATAAGATTTAGTTCACCATAGAGGGCAATCTTTGTTTATAGGCTGCATCAGTTAATGAGTTTATTTTAAATGATCTTAATGATCTTAAGCCATAACTGGAATTTTATTTATTTTTATTATTATTTATTATTTAAAACATTTCTATCTATATTATTTTTCATAACCCATTCCAGCCCTTATTAACCATTCCTGCTTTTTGATAAATCACAGCTTATAGATTTGAGGACATCAATCACAGCATGAGTTCCTTGATGCATGTTCACTTTTCTGATTTAGAGAGGTCTTTTATTTATTACATCTTCATGTAAGGAACGATGTGTAGTATCCTTTCCATCACATCTTTTCTAAAAAACTACAATGTATGCAGAATTCCAACCTCAGGAAAGGTGATGAACAATTTAATTTAATTTATGCCTGACCACAGTTTTCCTTTTCAGGGTGTGTGAGAGAGGTTACAGTGTGTGTGCTTTATGTTCATGTCTGATGTGCATTCCTGTGTGGGCGGTAATGGTAGAGAAAGAAATTGATTGTTTCCTGACCCGTTGAATTATTGATCTTCACCACACCAAAGCTGCAATGGGAAGCTCTCTAAACAATGTGTTCAGGCTTGTAAGTCAACAATAATGCAATAACAATGGCAGTTTTCAATTAATTGTATTGTAGTTGAAGTCTGCGATGGAATATGAGTAATCTCGGCTCAGAATCAGTTGATGTAAACTGTCTGTGTGTGCAAAGCTAATACTTTAAAACAAACGGTTTAACCCTTCTGCACACCACAGCGAAACCTCACCTGTTTATCTGTTTAGTTATACATTTAGGCCTGTTCTGTGTGCTAGGGTATGATGTGCTTAAATAATATGTTTCTGCAATGAGAGACTTGCAGCTGCACCATCCAGAAATCATAACCATAAAATCTCATTAGAGGAGCTTAAAGATTCTTTATTGCGTGTTTAAGCCTAGAATTAAATGGGTTTCACAGAGGAGGAAGATCACACTGGGAGGTTAAATGAGGAGTTGTCAGTGTGGAGTGTTATGAATTGTGTTACTGTCATAAAGGGCCCTAAGGAGATTAATGAAGGCTGCTGCCAGATATGAAAGCACAGTGTGAGAGGAAAAGTGTTGATATGATGCATTGCTCTAACCAGAATATCACATTACCTTCCAGGTAGGAAACATTGAAGGTTTTCCACTCAGAAGTGATAAGTTGCCCCTCGCAGTAGTCTTTTATCGGCCATCAGACACTGAGAAATTTGCCTGGAGGTTTTACAGACTCAGTTTGTAATCTATTAGGGTTATTATAGAAATGGATTTGCTTCACTCAGTTCTGCAGAATTCTTCTCTCTCCTCATTTATACTCTGTCTTTTTCTCTTCCTCGCTCCATTTGTATTGACATTTTTTCTCTTTTTTTCAGCTGCAGAGACTAAAACGCTCCTTGTCCTTCAAGACCAAGACCATGCGCAGCAAGAGCGCGGACAACTTCTTCAGAAACAGCAACGACAACAAGACGGAGCTGCTCTCAGACGTGAGCAGCAGCACGGGACATCTCTGCAACATGGCCCCGCCGCACACCACCCACCTGCCCATCCCCCCCGTCCCTCCAGCCATCCCCTCCGCTCCCCCCCCCAACTCACAGTCCCAGATACGCAACCCGCTGCAGGTAGACTCGGCAGGACACTGCTTCATGGAGCACATCTTCAAGAAGCCCACGTTCTGTGACGTCTGCAACCACATGATCGTAGGTATGGTTACACCGCCTCCCTCCTTCATTAGTGGAAGCAGAGTATCTAGCTGAGATCGTAGGAGAAAAAAAATCCTGCACATCATCAGATGAACTTTGCAATCAAAGCATTGAGAATAACCTTTTCTTAATGAGGCCTTCATCAGATAACCTGATTAAGTTATACATAAAAAGGCTCTAACATCAGAATTACAATTAGAGAGTTATAAATATGCAATAATATGCACATACGGTTTGGACACAGAGGTTATTTTCTCCTAAAGTGCCAACCTTGGTTTTTTATCATCCTTAAAACATTTTGAACACAGAAGCCATATTCATAAAAACACTAATTAAGGCACCTGATACAGAGCATCCATCTCGACCAACAGACTTGGGACCATAGTGTCTCCATCCTTTTCTTTTTGGCACGCTGAGCCAGGTTCCTCCATCTGTCGGCCGAGGTGTCAGATAGCCAGCTGCTCTACCTGTTCTCCCCCTGCCAGATGTTCTGTTTTCTCTGGCTGCCCCCCCTCCTTGTTAACTATCGGTTCAGAGGGACCACTAGGACTTTGTGTCTCAGGGCATCTGCTGATTGATAATGATAGCTGCTCCCCGAACCATCTGCCCAACTAGCCCCTGATACCACAGCAGATAGGACGACAGACCAGTGACAATGTGGGCAGGTTGAAAAATAAATGAATATATATCACTGTATCAGTGTGCCAACAGTCTTTGCTTTTCGTTGCATAATTGAAACAATCTAGTTGTTGTCAGACTAATGGGGTGTTGCCTGTGTGGGGTTTCCAGTGGCTGAGGCCTTGAATGGATAATGATAGTGAAAGGATGATGTAAGGTCCTGTGAAAGGTGCTGATCCCTCTGGTCCAATCGTGAAGGAAGATGCGGCCTTCTTCTTAATTTGTCCTGTTTTAATTTGAACATACTATCTTGCATGTGTGTGTTCATGGTGCTGTCATAGTCCGACTCTTGACATCCAGAATCAAGGGCGGCTCACAAGAGACAGAGAGACACATAGTTGTGTTAAAAGGTACTTAAACTGTACAAGTACAAGCAAACTGTGATTAATTCATCCTAATGGCAATTCATTAGAAAGCTTATGGAGTTGAAGAAGTACAAGTGTATTATAATTATAATAAGGTTCTCCGAAGTGAAATGCTTCTTGTAAGTGTACAGCAGACTAAATATAAATATAGGAATAAATATAAATGTGTTAATTTGTCAGTTTAATGGTGTAGATAAAAACCCCAAATAACTTTACATATTCACCACCTTAAACTTAAATAATTACAATGATAATATATAATTGGAAATGGAAAGGACATGTTGATCCTTAAATGGATTAACACTTATTTTAACTCAAGGTTTAATCTTCATCAATGTTACTGTTTCAATATTTATAATACACCCTATATACAGCCACATATGTAGATTAATAGCAGAATGGTAATATAGCAAAAGATAGCCTGGAACATTAAACACCCACCTTTTTTTCCTGAAGGAGGATCCCTTATTATATGAAAGCCTGTGCAAATTAAACACGTCATCCGTAATAGAAATGGCTGAATCATATTATAGTGCTCACTGACTCATTTATAAGGTTTACTAGATGAAATAGAGCCAAGCTAGATTAGTACATCTTTAATAGAGCAAAAACATATTACCATTTTTCTGGTAGGCGTTCATCTTTGTTTTGAAACCCCTTAGTAGAGAGACTAGCTTATACATGGTGTTCAGTTGAACAGTTGCTATTCAACATTAGGAAAATAAAGAATGTATAGGGATAATCTTAATGTTATGATTAAGAAGAGAATCACTGTCAGTCACTCTGCTTTGTCACAAGAGGAGTCCCCTTTTGTGTATCTAGAAATGTACTCAAAACCAGTATAAAGAAGAGAGGTAAAGCCAGTATACACCCACAGTCCATCACACAGGTGTTTTCAGTTTGCCTGATTAGATCTCGTGCTTGATTGACATCTCCCTCTCTTCCTCCTGTTAGATTTGTTACATCTGTAAGGGGCGGGACATCGATGCTGTTATCTTTATTATTAGCTTATAAAAGAGTTAAGCGTAGCTCCATTTAATTTCTAGTCTAATCAGCCAGGTTTATTGAAAACACCTTTGTGGGTGGGCTGAGCCTTAAACCCAGATGTGCCCTTAATGTGATATAATTAGGAGAAAATCACCCAAAAAGTGAAGATTGTTCAGAAATCTTATATGGAGAAGTATGTTACAGTACAACTTTTACATTTTGCCATCACATGAAATATAGACTTATATCATTTTTGTAGAATCAGAAAAACACAAATTGTGTTTTGTGCTAAATATCCAGATATAGATATTTGTTGCACTGCACTGATCTGTACATCTATGATATTGAGTTCATAGATACCAACAAAGATTTTAAATATTTTAAATAAAGCATACAGTAGCATACTTAGTGTAGACTTAGTGCATATTGGATTACTTGTGTCCAAAGGTTAAATATAGTATGACAAGAAAAACTCACAGGTAAATAGTTTGTGTCTTTAGATTTGTTTTTAGGCAAGCTCAGAGAAGACTTGTTTTTAAAAATACAGTTTCAGTAACAAAGAAGTGTCTTTGGTTTGCATGTTCTACCACTTCTTCCCGTATTTATTCCAAGGTGACCTCGCTATTTTTGTGTCTCCATCCAATGTAGTTTTCCTAATCATTACACGGGTTAAATGCTATGTTCAGTGTGCAGCCTTTTGTCCATGAAAGCTAGTGTTTTGTTTTTAGGCTCACAATGAGTTAGGTCCACTGGTATATAAAACTGCTCTGATCGAATACAGCCTTATGCTGAGATATTGATCTTGCAGAAAAAAGCTTATTAAATCAACGTCGACATGAGTGAACGGGATAGTTACTTGTGCCTGATGGAGCATCAAAATAATTTACTGCGAAGGCTTAAAAAATGTATTTATAGATTTTAGGTTATAAAGTAGTAACACATTCCAAACAAGGAGCTGGTTGAACAATACTTGTGCAGTAAACTTTCTAAAAGTACATACTGTCTGAGAGTAATACGCAGATGAACATTTCGGATATTATTTTTGAACATTTATTAGAACAAGTTCCTTGACAGTGAGTCTCACACAACATGGTACAGTTACAATATAATACAGTTATATATAAATAAATGTATTATATAATCAAGAAATACAACATAAAAAATCCATTATCAGTACAAAAGTAAAAGACATACAGAGAGTCCAATTAAATACCTTATAAAAAGTGACCATTTCTCGAAATACACTTCCATCTTGAGTTGTAGTTTCGCTTTTATATTTTCCATACAGTGTACAAGTCTTTGTGTCCATTGGTCCAAGGTAGGGTTTAAGCCAGTTTATTGTAATTCTTTTATTGGCTATTAAAGATGGGGTAGGTCATTTTGGAGAAACCAGCTCGAGTGCGCTAGAATTAGAAAATACACAGACGGAAAAAATCTGCCACTTCCTTACAGAGCCCCTCCTCCAACACACACGAACGCGCACATGACCAATGAGGGCACGAGATAAGTTTGTGCACAGATGGAAGGCTGACAGGCAGGTAGGCCATCCAGTTATTTTATTTTGAAAAAGTTTTATGGATTTTTTGTCAAAGCACTTAAGATATTCATTGCTATCGGGATGTTAAGAGCATTCCATGGAATATAACAAGTGTATCTCAAGCCGGTTTCTCAAACTTACCTACCCCACCTTTAATACCAGAACTCTGAACATATACATTTTGTCCTTCAAAATCTCTGATATTTTTAAATTACAAAAAATCACCTGTCGGTCAATAATTACTGATATACTTCATACACTTTAAGGGGTTAGGCAGTAATATACTTACAAGATGCTTCAAATGCCTCAAAGCAAGGCATCTACATTCCTGGATTAATTAATAAGACGAGTTGATATCTTCCATGAAGGACAGTAATCTCACTTGAATAACGTGCATGAATCTGTGCTAGGAAATCCCTGAGATGACAGGTTTGTTTGACTGCAGAGAAATTAATCTGTGGTCAGAGATTGGGTTGTAGACAGATATGAATGTGATGCTAAGTGAGGCTTTACTTCTTCTCCCTGCATTAACACATATCAGACACACACACATATGCTGTGTAAGAAGTGTGTACTAGTATTCAACATTCTAGACAGATTTAGTTTTAAGATGAGGACATCGTTTTTGTTCAGTGTCGACAGCCTTTCCAATGACTGTTTGAGAAACTAATTAAATCTGCAAATAAACCAAAGAAAGCTGCCCCGGTCACTGTTTTCGCAGAGCTTATGAAGATCAGGAGGTGGAGGAGTTATTGTCACGATGAAGGTTATTTGTAGGAAATCAGGAGGCGTGAAGTAACATCAGTGGCTTAATGGATCAATGTTGGGCTATTGTAAAGAGGGTGTGCAGTGAGAGAGACGCTGTGGGGAGGAAGAGTGGGAAATTGAGGGGGGGGGGGGAAGAAGAAGACTGTGTGGGAAAAAAAGAATTAGAGACAAGATGGAGAAGGTATGTACAATCTGGCAGGACCTCTGCAGCATAAATGAAGTATGGGCTTTAAAAGCAGAGTAGCCAAGTAAGAGCAAATGCCAGAGAGAGCAGCGCTGTGACTCTCTTTCTCTGCAGCTGCACTACTTTAAGGACCCTCTCTGAGCCTGGAGGAAAACGTAACTAAACACACACACTTACGTCATTACCCAGCCATTACTGAAGGTGGACAATGTCAGCAACTTGTGAAACACTGTGGTTTGTTACCTTATTAGCTGTTATGAGTTAACATGGAGGCGTCTCATTATTCCTCCATGTTGGAACGACCCAAACAAGCCAATCAACAACTCCTTGTCAAGAGCTTCTTCATTTGCTTCCTGTCCCTGAGCATCCAGAAAGACGGACAGGAAGTCAATCCAGGGTTTCCTAAAGATGCCAGAGAGAACATTTTACTGAAATGGCGGAGAAAGAAACTCCAAGTGTTCGTTAAACATCATCAGTTGACCTTTAATAGTGTGACCGGAAAATTGGTGCAGGTTGTACTTATTGCTCGTACTGTTTTTGTTGTGTTGTTGTGGTGATATGCAGCTGATCCATGTGAGGTTCAGTCTGGGATCACATTTCTCGCGGTTTCTGTCTCAGGTTAACTAACTCCGGCAGCTCTGCAGCAGGGAGGCTCACCCGGGCGACACCAGAGATTTAAATGGTAGAGGTAGAGAGAGACAGATAGAGTTTTCCACCCATTACTGAGATCTTGTCACTGCTGCCCACCTCCAGATACTAGCTGTGACACCAGTTCACATAACAGCACAGATTTATTTTCCTCTGTGTTGGCTCAGTAAACTACACAAGGGGCTTTGTACCTTAGGTTGCCTGGACAGTCTGTTGTGTTTTTTCTTGTGTTTTCTGCTCGGTTACATCTTTACAGTGTTCTTGCTCAATGACCCTCTTAACCCTGCTCGTCAAACTGAGAAAGTATTTTCTTGCTTCAATGCCCATTCACTCACATCACATCATGGACAAAGTTGACAACCTTTCAGTGATGAAATGTATATTCTCCCTGCACTCTCACAAACACTGAATGAGATCAATGAATCCTTATGTCCATATTTGTGTACACACGCATGCAGACAGTATACCAGAGCAGGGCTCATTGATTGATCAATAAAGAGCTGGAGGTGCATAGCTGCCGGACTGTAACTAATAACTGCACTGGGACTCTCAGTACTGTACAGTAGTAACACTGTCCTCTCCTGCAAACGACCATCAAACGATAAACTGCTGGCTACAAGTGGTCTTTTTTGTCCTATAATCGTGTAACATAAATATAAATAGTCTATGATAATTTTTAGTAACCCCTCTCTCCTTATATGATTTTGTGGGGATGTATAATTTGACAGTTTTTATTTGTGTGTCGTAAACCTGGATGCTTTGGATTATGAAATGATATATGATTATCTTTTTTGTGTACAGCCAACCCCAATTATCATTATTTGTAATGGCCCTGAGCAGGGATATAGTCTTCAATGTTTCATGGTCAAAACTGTAGTTTCACAATGTTTTAGTGAGCCTATGTGTCATTTAAACTGCCAATACCTTTTAAAGAGTAAACTTGAGCTACGTGACTTTTAATTCTGGTGACAAACGTATTTTAATTAAATCTGTAAGATGAACAGTGAAAGTTTGATTCCCTGCGGTGACATTGCACTTCACTTTCACTCCTCAAACATGCCAACTTACACATACCTACCTACTGTATGCAGTTCTTTCTCTTTGGTTGTATGTCTTTCTCACAAACACACACAATAACAGAGCCCCAGCCCAGTGATCCCTTTAAAGACAACTTTGATACCATCTGATGATGTTGACATGTGATTTACTTTATTCTATGCCTTCACCTTTCTCTACAATCTCCACTCTGAACAAGACTATCTTTCTCATTAGTATTACTTTATTTTTCTCTCTCTGCATATTCATTTGTTCCTCATTCACACACCTCTGCACACACACAAATATGTTTGCAGTAAAGTCAGATTAATCTTCATTTATTGTAGCGACTGTGAGTCAGGTAGGTAAAACTGCACACAGGCAGCAATTTAAAAAGTGTTCTCATGGGGCAGATACCACTGGCTCAGTCACAGTCTGTTTTGTTAAAATGGTTTTGCTAAAATTGCACATCACGTTTGCTAAAAGTATCACTGTTAGAATATTCCACATGTCTCTTCCCAGTTTTCCCCTAGTGCACCCCGGGAAAAACTCCAGAAATTCTAAGCTTGCAACAAGTGTGACGATGAATACATGAATGTGAAGGACTTCTGAACAACATTTTCCATGCCTCTGCCTTTCTGTGTGTGATTTACTGTTCACTTAGGAGCCCCATTCGAGTCCAGCTCCTGACAGATCCTGTCTTAACCTCTTAAACCTTTTGTGTGTGCATCAGGTACAACAGCCAAGCATGTGGTGTTCCTGGCGGGAAACACAGCAAAGCACGGCCTCCGCTGCAAAGCCTGCAAGATGAGCCTCCACCACAAGTGTGAAAACGGAGTGGGACAGCAGCGCTGCATGGGCAAACTGGTGAGATGCATGACACAGAAAAGTAAAAGACACCAAGTCACAATGTACCACTTTTGCCACTTTACTGTCAACAGTTTGGGAGACTCTGAGCTTTTAGTTACTGATGTCATTTTGACAGAAACCAAAACAGACATATTATAATTGGCCGTGTGTCTTTCCCACCAGAATGTGCTTATTCAGAAATCTCACTTTGTGTGAGCTTGCTGGTACATCTGTGACCACTGTCTATCCTCTTCGCTGATCATCGTTATATCATCACTCTGAGTCTTAAATAATATCAACGAAGCAAAATAACTGCTGACGTCCGTTAAGTTCTGCTGCCAGCATTAGACCAATAAAACAGGATCAATCACCCAAAAGCAGTTTTATAACAGCCATTGAAGAGTTCACACGTAACAGTTTTATGATATGTTTGGCATTTCACAATCTCACCTTTGCCTTGATGTCTGTAAGTAATGTATGTAAGTCAAGCCTTGGTCGTCAAATTAGGGGTTGTAAAATAATTTTTGGAATATTTATCACATCATTTATTCAACTTGAGCCTTTACATTTTCTATAAGACACAATGAGATTCTAGTTCAATATCACAACAATGTGGAAGTTGGCGGTATTTATCAGTGATCAACTATTTGGTTTCAAACATGCTGAAAGCTGCCTTTGATTTGTCCCTGAAAAGCTGATCAGAGAAAAGGTTAACATCATTCACCTTTCCTGCAATGTTATCTAATAAAATGCATCTACGCTGATATAATTCCAGCAATTTACTTCCCTGAGTTGTTTGATATTAATTACTCTGTTAATGAGCAATAAACGTGAGCAAAAACAGAGGCAAACTGTTTGGATAGAGATATAGGTTGAATTTAAATGTGCCTACTTGTTGACATAAAGAACTAGAGCAAAACTGCCTCATGAAATATTTGATTTAATAGTTGGTACAGTCAATACGTCAGCTTTTCAGTGCTGTTACATCACAAGTCAGAGGCATTGACCCTGTACTATAATAACCTCACAACTGTAAAACCACACACTCGTACCAGCATAGTTATTATAATCAAGTGATATGTTATTATATAAGTGATTTAAAGCTCTAATGTGATCACTCATCATCTGTGAACCTGCATTAAAAGGCGAACCAGGCGTTGGTCTGTGAGTGTGTTTTTACTGGAGAGGACTCAGTTACACCAGCATAAGCCAAAGCACCAACAAAAAAAAATCATTGCTTTCACTTCCATTGCCGTGGAGCAAACTGGCAGTGAGGAGTGGACTGGGACTCTTTAGTCATCCGCACTCATCCCACACGGAGAAGAAAGGGAGTGTAACACTGTCAGATCAAATTAAGTGTGATTTCATACCTTTCATCCTCTGTTCCCCACAGTATTTGGCTAATCCCTTCCCTACAATTTAACTGGAATCATTTGAGGCGATTTGGAATAAGCAAATGTCAATCAGCAAGAATAAAGTACGTCATATGGAAATTATATAGAGGGAATAGTCACAGTACAGGCAGTCTTTTTCCCTTCCTGTTGTGATGTCTTTCCACTAGATGCTTAAGGGATGAGGCATTTAGATATGATCGACTCTCAGGAGTGGAAAATGAGGTTGAGAGATCAAGCATAAAAAAGGAAGTTTTCCCAGTGGAGCACGGCTCTAATTTCGACTTATTCTAAACTTGGACACTTCAGCAGCCATGCTTGTTTCTCTTGGCTTGAGAAAAGTTTAGCAAAGAAGTCAAGTTACCTCATGCTCTGAATCTTTATTAACCATGAAACCAGTGTGTCGCTTTTCTTTCATGGAGTTCCTTACTGATACAGTCACAATTAATTCATATCAAATGTAGTTTTAAAATAAATGTAGTATTCAACAGCTCTTGTGTGTCAACAATTTGGTAACGCAACCTTCCTGAACTTCACCTTCAGCTTCGTCAAACTCATAATTTTCCCCTGTTTTTATTGTTGTGTATACAGATTATTTTCTAATAAGAAAGGCGTCTATGACTTTTTTCAAGATCTCCCTAGAATCAGTTTTCGAGATGGGCTTTCAAGCTCAAGGCTGGCTTATTTCTGTGTTTCACATCAGAAGTGTCAAAAGAATTATTCATGACAACTGATGATTAGCAATGAATATTTTACCACCTGCCACTTGAATACATAAAATGTAAACAAACTGAAAAAAGGCAGTCCTGTGAGATGTAGGTGTCCAACACTAATGCTCACATCCACTCAAGAATAAATGGATGAAAATGAAATCACAAAGAGAAAAAAACCCTGAACATACAGTATATACATTAATCATTACCCAGTGTGCTCAAATCTTATTGAACGAAAATATTTCCATTGTCTTTCTTGGATTTCAAACTGTTGGGTAGTATTTACTGGATGGATAATGGATATATAAATGATAAATGTTTGACTGCCTTTGGAGATTGGATGAGGACGTGACAGGCAGATAAATGATGACCATGAATTTCTGAAATGTTTTTCTAGTCAGGTTCATTTCGGTGGTCAACTTGACATATGACACATAGTCTTCTCTTGCATTTTCAACTCTGTTTGTCATAAATATACAACTAAAACTTAAATTCAAGGTTTTGCAGATGGATGTAATTCTCAAGTTGTGTTCACAGGCAGCTAGAGACACCATGCTATTGGTGCAATGTTTTTTACTGATATGTAAAGTAATGCAATAATCATTTAAATGACTGTCTGTTTGTTATCAAAATTGGTTCATAAGTATTCGAAATGCTGTATACTTATATTATTCAATTATACTTTTTAAAATATTCTCTTCTAATCATTGAAAACAGTTTAGAAATATACATTAAATTACTCAATACATATTTTATTTCAGTAACCTACCTACTGATCCTAAACCAATTTGGATTTATGAATTAATTAGTCATTATAAATTGCTGTGGATTAAGTCACCATGTTATTTTATATTAGTATTTCTTTAAAGAGATATTTTAGGTATTGATTGTTTCTCAGTCTGCAGTGAAAAACAGTTGCTTTGACTCATCTCTACAGTGACGTCTGACATTCAGTGCGGCAGAGCTTTATCTCCGTCAGATGTTCTCACAAACGACAGCAGAGTTACGTGCAGTATTTCAGTGTCAGGCCGCTGAGCTGCCTGCGGAGCTGCATATTGATTTGTCTTTAATGTCTGTCGCCTGTCTCTCTCTTTTTTCCGTTTCTGTGTTTCAGCCAAAAGGCTTTCGGCGGTACTACAGCTCTCCATTACTGATCCAGGAACAGTATGGCTGCATCAAAGAAGTCATGCCCATCGGTGAGCAGCTTAAATCTCCATGATACATTCACATGCTGTAAAGCAAAAATACTTTTCTCAACTCTTTTGGAGCCATTTTTGCACTTGCTGTTTTAAAGATTTTCTAACTTGTTTTGAAAGAATTGTAAATCACAACAATCAATTAAATGTATTATGTCAACAAATTTCACATAACTGTATTAGGGTAGTTGAAAGTGAGTTGAAATAATATATCAAATATTAGGCTCATCTTGTGTCTGAAATGTGCTATATAAATAAACTAACCTTAACTTAATATGTTTGGTTTCAACTAACCCAATACAGTAATGTAACATTTGTTGACATAATACATTTAATTAAAGTCAACGTTTCAGTTTTTTAGTGCACCTCATAGCTAATCAGAAAGCTTAACATTTGTTTGCCATTAGCTCTAATGTTGTCTTATTATTTTCTAAAGCCTGTGGAAACAAAGTGGACCCTGTGTACGAGGCCTTGAGGTTTGGCACGTCGCTGGCACAAAAAGCCAAGAGGCCCAGTGGCTCTGAGTCTCCTCAAAGAAACTCGGTAAGAAAAAGGATCATTCATCATGTTAGTGTATTTTCTTAACGGTGTCAAACAAACAATACAGATCACTAACACTTCCATTTTTATTTAAGTTCAAACCCAATGTACATACAGTTCAGTTAAGGTAATGTATCGTTCTATATATTTTCTTCTCACTGCGACAGACATACTGTTACTGATTGTCTGAATAGATACTGCCCCTGCAGGGCTGTAAACACTACCAATAAAGGCATTCTGGTCCAGGCACTGATGAAGGGAGATGTGGGTGCAAAGGCTCATGTTACAGCTCTGAAGATGGCCTGGATGATTGTAGCGTACGGCTACACTCTCCAGCCTCCTCTCATCTCTGTAATACACAAGGAACTCTGTTTTTCATTGCTTATCACTTTTTAGTGTAAGCTCAAATGTCTGGATACGTGCCTCCGTAAGATGACATCTGAAAGCTGTTGGCCATCCTGTCCTGTCCACTGCAGCTGTTAGTGAATGTGTGTGTGTGTGTGTGTGTGTGTGTGTGTGTGTGTGCAGGCTCTCAGAGACAATGTGATCTCCACAGGGGTTATGATAATAGTTTCCAAATGCGGACTAGGAAACAGCATGTTTGCTACATGACAGTTTTCTCGCAGTTGGCGGGTTACTCTGTGAAAGTGGATTCATTTTTAGCTAGTTTTCTCCTCAGAATCTTCTGTTAATATATCTCCCTATCTCTAATCTGTTTTATCTTTTCTTTCTGCAGACCAGTGACTTGGATAATGTTCCAGAGGAAGTGGTGGCTCACAGCAGCAGGCAGGAGCTGTCGAGAAAACACAGCGATGATGGTGAGTATCTGTTGTGGTACACTGATTACATCTGAATTACAGCCATGCAGTGACACAGGGTAAACACATGCTCTCCCACCAAGAGAGTCTGAGAAGGTTGCGACGTCAAATTGTCCTCCGTTGAACCATGAAATAAGCTTTTCTTTGCTCCTTTTGTTGTGTTTCCTAACTCTGACCCGGCTATAGAGTATCCTGTAGAAAAACATTAGGACCTCTCTTTTTCTTGGTCTGCATTGTGTGTAGCTCTTTATTTAAAAGTGCCTGGGTTTTTCAGCTGCACAATAGTCTATGCAGTGAAGGTCAAGGCACTGACCCGTCACAATCTGGAGCGTTCACTGGAGCAGGGAAGGAAAGGACGACAAGGTAAATGCTCAAGCCAACCAAGGTGGCCCTTTCCTTTAGAGATTACCACCTGACCCTACTAAAGAATAAATGATGTTCTGAGCCAGGGTCACCTTTGGGCCATGACACTGCTCTGCTTTCTTGAACGTGCTTTAGTTCATGGAAAAATAAAACTATAAACTATCTTTGAATAGATAGTTTGAAAATGTGTGAACCACAGAAGAAAACACAAGGCAGACATGATTGCAGTCACAATTTCTCATAATTAAACTTAAAGGTGGGGTAGGTAAGTTTGAGAAACCGGCTCGAGATACACTTTTTGTTATATTCCATGGAATGCTCTTAACATCCCGATAGCAATGAATATCTTAAGTGCTTTGAAAAAAAATCCATAAAAAAATGTCATCTGTGGAAGCTGTAGTACTGTAAAAAGCACGACCAATCATTTTAGCCGGCCCGGCTAAAATAACTGGATGGCCTACCTGCCTGTCAGCCTTCCATCTGTGCACAAACTTATCTCATGCCCTCATTGGTCATGTGCGCGTTCGTGTGTGTTGGAGGAGGGGCTCTGTAAGGAAGTAGCAGATTTCTTCCGGCTGTGTATTTTCAAATTCTAGCGATCTCAAGCTGGTTTCTCCAAAATTACCTACCCCACCTTTAATGTATAATATCTTCCATGTTTCTGGTAAGGTTTTAAACTATTCCTAGTATGTATTTTTGGTGTCCAACATATAATCTTTTAGACATTGCAGCCTTTACTAGCATTGTAGAATTCAATCTAACTTCTTGGATTCATTTGATTTAATTTAGTCTTTATTTTTTTATACAGTTTTCACAGTAATCGAGAACGGAAATGAGCATTACCTCCAGCCAGAGAGAAGTCCTGACGACTTGCCGGTAAGAAACACATCCATTTAATCTTTGTACATGCTGTATTACAGATTTAATGCACAATATGTGTTTAGAGGAATTGCAAGCGAAACAGTCTGGTCATCACAGTGATTGCTATTCTGGGACTCACAGTCAGTACAGTAATGAGTATTATTGGTGCAGTCTGTCAACCTCTGAGAACAGACTTTGTTACTGACCAGTGCCTGAACTCTTCATGGTCACTCTGAGAACTGATACCCAGCCAGTCGGTTCTGCCTCCAATAAGCTCGCTGCTCTTTGCCCCTCGCCTCCATCGTCACTGCTCGATTTCCCAGGACTCTGAGGGAAAACTTCTCTTCCTGCTGTAACAAATCAAACCGGAGCTGACAAGAGCACTGGCCTGAACTGATAGAGAGAAGCTTTGAAGTCATGTAACGTCTCAATCTGCAGCTCTGTGTTTCTGGTATTATTTTCTACACCGTAGATGCAGTGATGATGTTGCACAATTCATGCTGGTGGTGGGAGAAAAAGGTTAAACCTCTCTGAATATCTTGGCACCTCCTGCAGAGTAACCATGAATATTTCATGGGCAGATTTCTAAGCGGCTCTATCTAAAGTGTTTTGGAGAGGTGCTTTCAGTATCAATGTTCTTTGTGCACTTTTTCTATGTGCAGCAATCTATCACGTTTACTTTTATAGTTTAACATGTTTATCTCTGTTGTCAACAATGGAAAAAGCCACACAGATACTTGGACAAACACAAAAATGAACAAATAACCATACATGGGAAATAAAACAGTACACATGCAGACACCTATCCTCTCTGCAATACAATATGCCAGCCGTCCATCTTCGGGGAAGAGACTTGAAGTACATTGTGCTGTGTTATCAGACTGGACCGAGCACAGCTGGCAGCCGGCTGTGTGTCCGTCCGCAGACCGCTCCATTAGCTCGGGCTGGAGGACGGACAGATGGAGGCTCTGCAGGGTAATGAGCAGGGAAAAACGCTCCAAAACTGCCTCTCCGCCAGCGATGAAACCTCCAATTTGAGATGAGAGACACACACAGGATCCCCATCTGTTCACACTTTCCAGGTTTTGTGTTAAACTACCCAAGATCAATTGACATTCAAATTGCCATGGCTCATTTTTGCGTGGATTCTTTGTTTGGGAAGTTTGCTTGTGTTATAGGTGGAGCTTTTTCTGTTTATTTGAGGCAGCTTTTGTTCATTAAAGTGTAAAACGTGTTACCTCCAATAGCCAAACGTATCTTACTTGGATTAATCTAAATGAAATTAGCCCCTTAAAGCTGCGCATATCGATATTTTTATAAAACAATGGATCAAATAAACATCTATAGCAACTAGTAAGTACATAATGGAGCATTTAGGTGCTATACTGTATAGCAACATGTTCGAGCAAAACAGTGCAAGATGGAGAGTAAATGTTGCTGTGTTTGCTGGACATGTAAACAGGCAGCTGTTGGCTGACATGTGCAACATAAAAAGTTTATAAGGTGATAATATGTTAAAGTTGTATTCACAGGTTGTTAAACTACACCCAATTGGCTAAAAAACAATCAGTAACTGTGGATCTAAAGAAATTCCTGCTGTTCTTCCATTTCATTGTTTTACTTTTTTCCTAAATGCAGCCTTTCTGTCTATTACTCAGTTTCAAAGGAGGCTGTTATTTCAACCTGCTCAACCCGATGCACTGTTCCAGGCTCCCAAAGCATCGAGAGCCTCTCTAGGCCAGTGAGCGGCTCTTATTTAGCTGTAATGGATTGCCACTACTTGACGCTGTTGTTTTCACCCAGAGGCCACAGAGGCAATTTGCCTTGTGGCTGCAGTTAACTCGACTCATCCATCACACACATTGCCAGTCCTCATGGACGATGCTCGAGGAGCCCCAAAAGACCAGGAACACTTCTCCTCATTGAAGACACAGCGCCACAAAGATGGCAAATTCTTCCACTGTCTTTCAAAAACAGCCATTAGTGTGTCTTAAAAAGTCATTCTCATTTATTTTGGCTAAGTTTCCCTGTGGAAATTATGCAGTAGCTAGTTATCATTTGGAAGGATTTCAGGGACACAGCACGCCGGATAGGTATTGGTGATGAATCAAGAAGACGCCCACCAGGAGCAGGTGTGAAGAGCACCAGTGTGGCGCCGCGTCTCCCCGCTAATTGTGCTAACACTTCTCTGACAACTTCCTCTCCACCCACAACCCTCTCCTGTTTTAACGTCCTGAGTGTTCATGGAAACGTGATCCTGCTTCTCCCACTCGTGTTGACGGTGGATTAAAGGAACAGATTGCAGAACAACTCAAGCGGCTCCCCAGTCTATCAGTGTTCAGTAAACAAGGGCTTCTCCTGCCTATGTGAATGCCAAAATACTATTTTAAGAAGCGAGAAAAGTGACAATAGAAAATATGGTGTTGCATTGTATTTTTGTGACTATGAGCTTTGTTTAACTTGTCAGCTATGTTTTCCTTTTTCCTCAGACTTCTTGACAACCAAATCTGTTTATGTGTTCATGTGTTTTTCTGTGTGTGTGTCTGTGTGTTATCTAGTTGGAGCAGATCCACCTACAACAAGATGTCCTTAAGCTCAACACCTATGTGGCCTTGTTCAGCTTTACTCCCCAAGACAGCCATGACCTGGAGATGAGGTTAGTTTACTAAATCACTCGCTGTCAGTAGATGAAATATAGCTGACTTACTCTGACATGCTCACAGTGATCTTTTTTAAAACATGTTTCGCTCTTCAAAATGTCCTTAACTAAGGAGAAAACAAAGTATACAGAAAGGCTGAGACATTTCCTGTGTTATCAAATCATAAATTTGATGAAACCTTCTGAAGGAGAAAGATTAAATCTACCTCTGTTTCATTCATACACACGCGTATATACACACTTGATCAATGAAAGAGATCTCTTTCAGATTGATTTATTGACTACTGTTGCCTTTTGTATGTTGAGAAACATAATTGTGGCACACATACTGCCATGTGAGTCTGCAAAACAAACAAAAAACAGTGACATGCAATCGTAGCGTACTGTATGCCTGAGGGCAGTCGTACAGTGAAAGGACTTGGCACACGATCACAAACACAAAGTACACTGTTTTCTGCTGCATGTCAATATTCATCAGTTTTTTCATGCCAGGACATTCAATGTTCTGTCTATTAGTGTGTCTGTGTTTCTTCCCTGTATCTTATATAATCACTCCATTGAGAGCAATAGGAGTAAAAAAAAACACAAGAATAGATTTAGAAAATAAACTGATTAGCTTTTTTTTTGAAGGTAAGGGTCCTCAAAGATTTCTTTCTCTGGAGTGGCCTCATTAATAAAACATGTGTTTTTGCCATGAGGGTCTATTAATATCAGTCAATCTCATGTCTTCATGAATTTATCCTGAGAGTCTTTTGAAATGTCATTTTTATTATATTATACACCAAGAAGTTCACCCAGATTTTCCCCAGAACTGTAGTAGTCAAAACCAATACTATTAGTTGAAATCAGTCCTATTCCATACCAAGGTAAAAAACAGAAAAACAAATATATGATTTGACAAAAATGCTTTGGTATTTTCATTTTTGTAGTATAAGCTGTTTTACATTGCTGTGAAAACATATATTTTAAACATCTTTATTTACAGTATGATCTACTTTACCATGACTTTTTCATGACATACTACACTATCACTTGTTTTTACATCATCATTTTTTCCTCAATTCTCAATAAAAATATTGAATCATATATTTACATTTTAAATGTTTGCATTTTTATTGATTGCAGTAACACGTTAAATAAAAACACTAGGGTCAAATCAAACCCATATCAATGTTACAGGGCTGACACATACTAAAACATTAACATTCACACCTAAGGACAATTTCACATCACCAATTTATGTTTTTTTTGCATAATCATTATATAGCGGGAGTAAACCGGAGTTCCCGGAGAAAACCCTGGTGGCACAGGCTGAAGTATTTGAAGGTCCTGTGGTCATCCTGCACGCTTGGTGGTTGTTTCTGAAGACTGCTGATTTTATGTGACCCCAATATCAGTCTCACCATTCTCAGATGGGTCGCTGAGAGGATCCCACATTGCATCTGAAAGATCCAGGGTGCAGATGTCCATCATCTCAAAGGCCTCTGATGCATGAGGGTTGGAATACATGTTATCTTCTAGGTGAACCATTGTTACAAAGCTGTGTTCTAGTGCTTGTCCGGGCGTAATCCTAGTCTGCCCATCCAGATTGAACAACGCATTTAAGAGGTCTGAGAATGCCATCTTGTCTTCGCGCATAACATCTGACAATGTAATATTTTCTTCAGGTGTATCATAGTCATGTTCCTCTGGCTTCTCCATTACTGCAACTGTCAAATCTTTAACATCATCAAAATACCAACTTGTATATTCTGGCTCGACATCATACACCATCTTGTACTGAGATGGCGTCATTAGCTCCCATCCTGGAGTCAAGCCCCTTCCCTTGATAAAATACTGTGAAGTGTTTATCCCAGAATCTAGCAGGTGTTTTTTTGGCTGTCCAAGGAGCTGGCAAATAGCTCTCATCTGGTCGTATGTAGAGTTTTGAGGGAAAAAGTCGGTATTAAAATACAATGAACCCAGGAGACATCCCAGTGACCACATGTCGATGGCTTCAGTTATAGGGAGACCCAAGGTCACCTCTGGAGCTCTCAAAGGAATAGGTTGCATTTCCATACCAATCTTTGCTTTGGAAGCTGGGATGGCCAAACCGAAGTCAATTAATTTAATCCTGAAGGGCTGAGACTTGTGGTTAACAAGCATGACATTGTCCGGTTTCAGGTCTGTATGAATAATGCCAATTCCCTTCAGGGCTTCAAAAGCTACGAGTAGCTGTTGTGTGATAGGGCGGATTTCGTTCAGGGAAAATGGTTCCTGCATCTGCGAATAAAGGTCCCAAATGCTCATGTCCAGCATTTCAAAGGATAGGCAATACTTGTCTTGGAACATGAAATTATCCATGTATCTCACTAAGTTATTCTTATCTGGGTCAAGTCCCTTGATTTTTTGAAGCATTCTCACTTCATCATTTGCATCTCCTCCGTCTTCGAGGATCTTGATTGCCGTTGTTTCAGATGTTTTCAAATTAACACACTTGGCAACTTTTCCAAAATTCCCTTCTCCTACAAAGTCCAATAAAATGAAGCGTGTGGAACTGCTGTAAAGTATTGTGGGATTTTGTGCCTGAAGTGGTGCGGGTGCTGACTCGTTGTTGTGGGGTTCAGGATTGCAGGGGTCTGGCTGAGAGGTTGTGTCATTGGTAGGTCTCTCAGTGTTTGATTTGTCAGCACATCGGGAACTCTCAGGTGGTGCGGGTGCTGACTCGTTGTTGTGGTGGTCAGGATTGCAGTGGTCTGCCTGAGAGGTTGTGTCATTGGTAGGTCTCTCAGTGTTTGAATTGGCAGCACATCGGGAACTCTCAGGGGGTGAGTCACCGTCAGTTGCCTTCATGTCAGTTTCAGGGTCGCTGAGAGGATCCCACATTGCATCTGAAAGATCCAGGGTGCAGATGTCCATCATCTCAAAGGCCTCTGATGCATGAGGGTTGGAATACATGTTATCTTCTAGGTGAACCATTGTTACAAAGCTGTGTTCTAGGGCTTGTCCGGGCGTAATCCTAGTCTGACCATCCAGATTGAACAACGCATTTAAGAGGTCTGAGAATGCCATCTTGTCTTCGCGCATAACATCTGACAATGTAATATTTTCTTCAGTTGTATCATAGTCATGTTCCTCTGGCTTCTCCATTACTGCAACTGTCAAATCTTTAACATCATCAAAATACCAACTTGTATATTCTGGCTCGACATCATACACCATCTTGTACTGAGATGGCGTCATTAGCTCCCATCCTGGAGTCAAGCCCCTTCCCTTGATAAAATACTGTGAAGTGTTTATCCCAGAATCTAGCAGGTGTTTTTTTGGCTGTCCAAGGAGCTGGCAAATAGCTCTCATCTGGTCGTATGTAGAGTTTTGAGGGAAAAAGTCGGTATTAAAATACAATGAACCCAGGAGACATCCCAGTGACCACATGTCGATGGCTTCAGTTATAGGGAGACCCAAGGTCACCTCTGGAGCTCTGAAAGGAATAGGTTGCATTTCCATACCAATCTTTGCTTCGGAAGCTGTGATGGCCAAACCGAAGTCAATTAATTTAATCCTGAAGGGCTGAGACTTGTGGTTAACAAGCATGACATTGTCTGGTTTCAGGTCTGTATGAATAATGCCAATTCCCTTCAGGGCTTCAAAAGCTACAAGTAGCTGTTGTGTGATAGGGCGGATTTCGTTCAGGGTAAATGGTTCCTGCATCTGCGAATAAAGGTCCCAAATGCTCATGTCCAGCATTTCAAAGGATAGGCAATACTTGTCTTGGAACATGAAATTATCCATGTATCTCACTATGTTATTCTTATCTGGGTCAAGTCCCTTGATTTTTTGAAGCATTCTCACTTCATCATTTGCATCTCCTCCGTCTTCGAGGATCTTGATTGCCGTTGTTTCAGATGTTTTCAAATTAACACACTTGGCAACTTTTCCAAAAACCCCTTCTCCTACAAATTCCAATAAAATGAAGCGTGTGGAACTGCTTTGGAGTATTGTGAGATCAGGCCCATCCTTATCTGATTTTGAGCAACTCATTTTTCCTGTAAGATGTCCCAGCAGAGCAGATTTAAAGTTGGACTGTCTTCTTCCTGAGGTTATAACAATATGAAAGTGTCTGAATCCCTGAGTTCTTACTAAGGTTTGATCTTCAAAGTGAATGATGACATCATACAGTTCCGTAACCGAGCCACAAGTTGATGATGTCATCGTAAGGATGTCATCATGCTTTGCTGATGTCATAATTCTAAATCTATATCTTTCACTTGTTTTTGCTCCAAGCTTTTTGTTTTGCCATTCATCTCTTTCACTGTGATGTTATCAATGACTAATTCTGATATCTGCTTGTTTGACTTCCTATGGCACTAGCAACTTATTAACCAATTAGCTTCATTACAGTCCATACTATAACGTTATGACAAACTATACTGAATTTCATGATATGCCTATGACATTCTTTACTATGAAATTGTTATTGTGACATACAATGACAAGTTGTATGACATAATATTACTTGTTACACGATATGGCTTTTTTTACAAGATACTATGCTGTGGTGTTTTTTTAATAAAATATTATACTATGAGGTTTTTCATAACAAACTATGCCCTTTTATGACTATGTACTTTTGTATGAAGTTTGCCATATGCTCTGACATTTTTGATGACATACTGATATACTGTATGGTTCGTCATATTATGGTATGTCATGAAAGAAACCTTATAAAAATGAAAAAACATATGTTAAGGAAAGTTTCACAACCTGCGATGCACGTCCACTGTCTAATGTTGCAGATCAGCCTTACATCTCTCTCTCGTCACAACAAAACAAACACAAGATATGAACCGAGAATTTGGAAAATCGTTACACCGCACGAACAATATTTTATCTTGTACAAGGACTTAATTTATTCCATTATAGTACTTATACACATACTAGTGCATATATGAATTCATACTAGTGCAATATTTACATTCATATTAATGCAAGTAAGTACTCAAGTAAGCACAATTACATTTATTTATTAATTTAACTAATATTCATACAGAAGAACCTGTGTGTGTGCAATGACAATAAAGGTTTTCAATTTTCTTCAAAAATGATGACATTTGTAATGGCCAAAATGTATAATTTAACACATATATTGGAGAGAAAACAACACAAATTGCTTTTCAGACAAACCAATGAAAAGGATAGACCTTTAAAATAAAAATTTGAATTTCATCAACCAGGCTCCTGAGAGCCACTGACCTGCATGTAATATCTCCCGACTATAACACACCTGATTCAAATTACCTGCTCGTTATCAAGCAGCTGAAGCTTGTCAAGGTGTTTGATAACGAGCAGATCATTCATATCAGGTTTGCTTCATGATCACAGTTTGTGTCCACTTTATGAGGACATGAGCTATATACACGCTAATTTCGACTATTTAGTAGTCTGGTGTCCAGAGAAATATTGTATACACTTTGTTTGTAGCATGAACTTGGGAAACTGTCAAAAGGTTGATGTGTGTTCCAACATTTAACCATGTTTAACTGCTGAACACACCATTAGGAGCGTTTATAACAGCAGACATTATAACTTGTGATAGTAGGAAAAGCACAGGTGTTAGGAACGATACTGACAATGCCCCTGCTCTGTTCACGTCGCAGTGAAAGTTGAGTCAAAGCAGCTAAGTTCAGCCTTCAATTGCATTATTCACAGTTGTGCATTTTTCTACTGTGACAAGTCAAAATGTCTGCTGTGAAAAAGGCCTATTTAAAAGTCACATTGGGTGTTTTGGCTTAGCAGTTAATTGAAAACACCTGATCATTGTCAGTGAAGTGTTTTAAGCTGTTGAAAGCTGTGCAGCTGCAGTTCTCCATGATTCAGTCGGATTACTCTGAATGACAATAACATCAAATCAATGTGAAAGGAGTCGCTCATAGTGACAAACCTACACAGAATTATAAGCTGGATCTGCAGCTGCTCTTGGCTTTATAGTGACTTTTTAACTTATTGTTTAACTCTCCACTCCTCAACTTAACTCTTTTTGTCCACTGTACTGCACATTTTTGGACTAACAATCATTATGTGAACATAAACATGACTCCAAATTAAATTAAAAATGTTGCTCTGAAACTGCGGGATGTGTAAATTAAAAACCTTGCTAACAATTTAGTCGTAACTTGTTTTCATTGCCCACGAGTGGCTAAAGAACTGTTGATGCAGGTTTAAAGTAGAAACAGCTGAATACCGGTATGTGTTGTCTGTCTAATTATCTCAAATACAATCTGAAACACAGGCTCCAGATTGTATCTAATTTCTTAACCATGATTGATAGGGCCTCGTCAGTGACATACTTTGTAAAGACCCTCAGGAAGAGAGCATTTATCATGAGCAGTCCTTCAGCCTAAGTATCCATTTGCTCTTGATCCCCACAGGTATTCTGTTAGGATTTAAGAGGTGCACTTGTTCTCTCTCACACACGTTGAGAAAATACTTCAATCGTTAGGCGTGATTTAAAATTCATTGGAAATAAAATGATCTTGCACTCCCTGTCCCCCTACACCATTGGCAAGCTTTGTTTTAAATATATTCTCTTATGAGAGCCTATTTCTCCTCTGGGTTTTGCTGCAGACAGTAATCAATACATCAAAGTTAAAATGGAGGAAAAAGTGGAATATTTAATCAGAAGATTCAGTTTTCATTTTAAGTGAGAAAATCAGGTTTGTGACTATTTTCAGTTGGCCCCACATGCTCTGATTACATGATTACCTTCCACTGTGTGGTGATTGTAATCATGAACATTTATACATTGCTAGAATACAGAATTAGATAACCCACTCCTCAGCCTTTATGTTATTTAAAGGACAATGATCTCAGCAAACCTTTATTTTAAGTGGTTTTGAAACACAGCACTCAAAAGAGATGCTCACAAGGTACGTTTCCTGTTATTCTTTAAGAAACAACAGGTGTACTTTGTTTTCACCCTAGAAGGTTTTATAACACCGGGTGCTATGCTGTTTCTCACCTGCAATAAACTGTGTTTTTCTGAGTCATGGCGAGCATTACAGAGCACAGCCAGTGTTGTAACTGAACCACAAGGAGAAGAAAATGGGGAAATTACGTAAGCCAACATTTGGCTCAACTGTGCTGGCCCTTTTGATTTTTATTGATCAAATTTAGCCAACGGCTTGGAAGAGATGTTTGTAATTATGGCACATGCGGTAAAATGATTAATGTGTTTACTGGACAAAGAACAATTACTTACAGCAAACAGGATTAAGGTGCATCTGGAAAAACCCCACAAACACCTTCATCTGCTTGGCTATACAAGAGGGCCTGTCAGAGAGATCAAGGTGCAGCTTCTCTCATTGTTGACAGATACAATAACTTGTAGGTGCTGTCTGATTCACCCTGTTGAACTGAACAGCAGATATGAAGGGGGCCATGACAACAGTGGAAGATTCACTTCTAAACAATCACAAAACGTATTATACAAAGAGTCAACAATTTCTCATAGAAATAAAATAGAACAGGATTCTCGTTTCTAGCCAGTGAACTTTTATATTGTTAGCTAAATGACTACTGATGTGGTTATTATTACTTACTTTGTAAAGGGGATTTCTGTCACTATACATAGATTCATCAAACCATGAAGATAAGAGGAGGAAAACGTTCCCTTTTTCAGTATTTTTGTCTTTTGTGCTCTCTATTGCAGCGCAGGAGACAGAATCTTAGTGGCTGACGACTCGAATGATGACTGGTGGAAGGTAGGTTCAAAACCAACTCATAACACCATTATGAATAGTGACAAGTCATCTTAAACATTTTCTTTGTTTATATTATAATGAACCTTCAAACATTAAAAGTTAACGGAGGCAGTTTTGAACGGTTTACATGAAATGTGGATAATCCACAAAGCACCAAAATGCCCAAATAAGAAGTGGAGCTCTAAATTATAGGAGCGAGGCAACAGGCTGCCTCGAGACACAACTGCACGACAGACACATTGGGTAGACAAAAGGGTGAAAACGTGACTGTACAGAGGCAGCCTGCTACCACCAGACCATGAAGAAACTCATCACGCATTTGAACTCTGCTGCTGTTTTCTACCGGCTGTAGATAAACAGAGACATCTGGTCAGTTTGTTATAGATACTGTTGTTACACATGCACAGTACAATGTTTAGGTACTGAAGGTGAGCGTAGCGTATCCTCTTTATATCTATGAACCAGGTGTATAGGTAGAAAGTAATGTACTGTACTGTGTTTTAAGGATTTTATCTAACGACTGGTTTATTTTCCATATATTTCTTCAGGGGGTTATTGAGGACAGGATCGGTTACTTCCCGGCGGCCTATGTTCATCAGGCTGGGATTGAGGACCAAGTGTTCAGGTGTAACAGGACGTTCATCGGCTGTAAGGAACAAGGACAGATCACCTTAAAGGAGGGACAGGTACTGTACACACCTACTGTATAAACCTTATGATGATGATGATGATAGGCTGATTATCGACATGTTAAGTGTAAAGTCTTAACATAAATACAGGCTGTCGAGGATGTCCCTTCTAAAATAGAGTGTTTATTTATATCCTTCATTATCCTGCCCTGTAATTATGGCCTGCTTTATCTTCTGCATCTGCAACTCTCCGTGTTATATTTATTCTATTTTCTTGTTCTGGGTTTTGACATAGTAGTAGATAGTGCTTCACGACAGCAAAATAAAACAAAATGCAAGAATGATAGTAAAAATATGAAAATTATAAATAAACATCTTGCAAAAGGAATACACCAAAATAAGATAATAAATGAATAGCATTGATTATAAGCCAAACACAAATGTTTTATTATGCAGAGGTACATTCTTAAAACTGCCAGATAAATACCCATCAATCAAACGTATAACAGGCTAGATAGCTCAGTTCATATGTATTTTTTTGGGGAAAAAAAACATTTACAAACTGTAACAGTGGGATTGTTGTTAAGGTCAATTGCCTGCCTTTAGAGCCACAACAACACAAACCACATTATTAATTAACGAAACATCAGCAGTCTTGATCACATGAACGTCCTTGTCATTATGGGTTAGGGGAGCCTTCAGGGTGAATATTTAAACTTCCACATTCTACCTGGGTGTAATTCATGATCACACTCCTGCCAATAGAGCTCATCAGATTCACATCATCCAGCAGCTCTTTAGCCATCTTATTACCATCCTGCAGCCCACGTTGCCCCTTACTCTTCCCTTCACCTATAACCTGAAAAGCTTGACTGGAGTTTGCTGAAAGGATCCTTCGTCGGAGTAACCATTAGATTATCATGTTGGTATAATGGCTCTACTTAGGTCATGCCCCTTTTTTCCCACAATGCTTTCCAGGACATGTTGGGATTTTAAGTAAAGAACCCCCAGTGGAGATGAAACCGCCGATAAAACGAGTAGAGTCTGTGACCCGCTGCCTTCCTTTTCCGTTGACACAAAACCCAGGGGAAGGTTTTGGAGCGTACTAAAAGCCAGTATGCAGATACAATGTGTTCTAATCTATCAAGAGGCTCATTCAGGGCATCTAATAATTATAGCAATATTATAAACAAGCACAACTCCATCATCATCTTTAAAAATAGGTTGCGTTTGTAAATTGTCCCTTTGAGCTGGACCATACAGATTGAGTGATATGAGACATAAAAACAGAGATAAGATCAAATGAAAATTGAAGTTTTGTTGATTATGTTTAGACTAGACGACATGTGGGCGCTTTATTGTTCATACATACAAATCTTTATTGACTATTAGATTAGCAAAAGACCATAAAGCATGTAGTTGTAGAAGAGTTCAACATGAAAACTGACAGGTTATCAAAGTAGATGCATGCCTAACCTAAAACATGAGAAACAGCCTACAGTAGGAGCCAAAAAAAGACAACAGGGCTATCTGTACACTTGTTGCCATAATATGTATGTCTAGTCTTGCCCCAGTGTGTTTTTATTTAGTATGAACTTGGCACTTCCACTTTAAAGTCTATATGTATCGACCTCACGTCAGTATCAGATATTGTGTCCTACCATCTGTTACTAACATCGATCAAATGTTTTATTGTATGTTTGACTGCACTGGTTATGTTCAATTTCTATTAAAGTAAATGTTCATTATTTGCCTCAGATCTGTGTGAGCAGTGAGGGCGAACACAGCGGCTTCATCAGAGTGGCGAGTGGAAAGAAGAGAGGCTTCGTGCCCTACGATGTTCTGGAAATCATATGAGACAAGCACTCGGAGACAGAAAGAGAGAGACTGAGACAACCAAGAGGAGGAGGAAACTAAAACTGCCAAATGGCTCAGAGAAACCAGGGAGAGACTTTGCCTCGTCAGACGTTTTGATGTTAAAGTGATACTGGTTTTGTGAATGAAGACTCTGCTTTGTTGTGGGTCAGAGTCTCCGTACCTTCTTCCCTCTAACACAGAGCTAGATGCTAAAGTAGACATTATAGTGTGTTTGCTAAACAGAAGCCCTCTGTTTCACTGGATTTGATTTAATTTATAAAGCTGATTGAAGTGTTTCTGTTCCCCTTAGTTTGATTTTGCCACAAACGGTTTGTTTTTAAAAATGGAAACTCCCGTCTGGCTGTTTAAGCCAAAGAAAAGGAAACAAACACAAAGCACATCCAATGGCATTCCTCTTACAAATAGTTTAGTTTCTCATGCTTTGACATCATGTTGCGGGCAAAAGTTTAGCTTTTAATCCAAGGATTTGAAGTTTGTAATAAATGGCTGATTATTTTGGATGACAAAATGCCAGATGTCAGAAGGCAATGGAAAATTGTATCACAGTAAACCTACTTCGGAATCTTTTTTTTCAACTTGCCATATAACTTCCAAACTACAGTGACAGTCCTAAGGTAGAAGGTGATTCACAACAAAGAGATTTGAGAGTATTTTCAGAGGAATTTGTCACAATCAAAGACTTCAGAAATGCTCAGTGGTCTTTTCAAAATATCGCCCTCATATTCCCCAGATTTCAAATGTCTGACTCATTGCATTTCCTGAATTACTCAATGGTGACGGTAATATGCATTTTTTATTTATCGTTAAAATCAGAACCCTTATTTAAAATCTGTGTTCCACTAGAAAACAAACTTGTTATTTACGAATGTTTACCTTTTAAATTGTTTCCATGCTTTGGGATCCATTTGACTGATCTTTTAAGGCTTGTCTTTAATTAAATTATTTCTCTTTTTGGTGATTCTGAGAGGTGTTACATCATAGTAGATATAGTATATCTCTTAAAGGTTGTTCTGCACTAAAACGTGGCTTTATTGAATATCCTGTAAATACTGTACATACAAAATAAAAAAATATTCTTTATCACAACAAACCAAAAGTGGATTCTGATCATTTTGTGGTGTCTTACATGTATGACTTCTTTCTGTACCCAGGAGTTATTACATTGAATTCCCTATAAAAACATAAGCCTAATATTTCACATATTTAAAATCATTTCCGTCATGCTTCGAATATCTCTCTTGTCCATGAATAAGAATCGGTAAAAGCCTCATTTGCTCAAGTGGGCCCAAAAAAATTATGCAACATGCAAATATGTATTTTATGATGTGATCTTTGCCAGTGAAAACAACTGGATTGTGACTCAGTTATTCACAGAGTGCAAAGAACCAAATTCATTTTCACAGCGCGAGAAGCAGTAGACTAGATTATTAAAAATCGTTTAATTTTAACTAATGACTTTCATGCCAGCATTGACGAAAAGCCAACATTGACGAAAAGTCAACCGTGTTAGTCATAGTAATATGTTTTATATGTTTCTTTGTATTGGTTAAGTTCAATTGTGAGTCCACATTTCAAAGAAAAATGTTCATAATTTTATAACAATTCTAATTCCCTCCGCTGCTAAGTACTGTGATAAGGCTAAAAGTGATTAAAAAAAAAGAAGTAGATAATTAGAGATTGTTTGGCCACTATATTTAAGCTGTATAGTTGCAGCTCATTGTAAGAGTGTCACAGTGGGCTATGTAGTGAAAACAGAGTATTTGGCTTAGTTTTTTTACTTCATTAAGTAAAAATATGTATTAATAACAAACCTTAACTGTAAACTGATGTTTCATTTGATCATGATTTACCCCCATTTGATGTGCCGGACCATCTGACCAGACTATCTGCACGGTCCACCATGAGGGACTGCTTCAGACGTCAGACCTCAGAGGCTTCAGCAGCTCCATTTAGCATCTGCCTGCATGTTTAAATTGTCTCTGGAAGCCTAAGTATAGAAGTGGAGACACTCACAGACACTTAATGACTGCCCATTTTCCTGTAGTGTGTCTGTGTGATGACACACAACCGGCGTCACTGCAGGATACCGACGAGACTCTAGCTCCACCTGTTGGTTTGTTAGAGTAGCAGCAACATCCAGCAACTGGGTTGAACTGACTGAGCTGTATTCACACCGTGTCTCAAATGAGTGGCACACTTTTACCTTGGTCCACCATTCATATTAAGCTCTCTTACAAAAAACAAATCAGAAAATGCTCAACTTAAAGCTGTACTATATTAATGTTTTGAACAATGGTTTAAATTAATATGTTTGAGTGTAAGAACATTATGATTGTTTGTTAAAAATGGATTATTATCACACAACGCAGTTTCGCTCGGCTCTACAGAGCTTTATGGCATCACTTTGTTTTGTTTTTTTGCTGCCGTTTTGGTACACTTTCTCAACTCTTGTGTCATTTTGAGATGCAGCAAAGAACAGATTTCAGTAAAAAAAAAAAAAACCTGTAGCCTACAATACCTGCTCATCACCAAACACCAGAAAGACACAGTTAACAACTACTGGTACAGATGGTGGAGTGTTTAGTATAGCCATTACCCTTCAGGAGTAGGAGAGACCAAAGCAAGAGTCCAACTAATGTTGCCCTGTGGATGCTACAACTCAATTTATAAGAAAGCACATCAAAAATCAATAAATGCCAAATTAAGTAACATGATGAAGGAACTTTGGGGGTTTATACGTTTTTAAGGTACATGGGTTACATTCCCATAGGTAAAAAAGACTCACAGTACATATCTATCTACCTATTCAAACAATTAGGTCCTACTTTCTTTTTTTACATGTTTCATGTTGTGCGTGCAAAGGAGTTGGCAGATGAACTGCGGGTGTTAAATATGGTCTCAGTAGTTGTGAAGCAGGAAGGGGATAGTGCTCGATTCAGTCTCACAATAAGAAAGGTGTAAAAACAGGTCACATATTATTGGAAGGGTTAACACTCATTCGACATAGTGTTCTTTATATTGCAGCTTCTTGGGTTTTTCTTTTCTTTTTTTGTTATTTTCTTTTTCACTAGCAGGAACCACGCCAAAACAGTGTGATGTTTGTACGTTTATTGAAGTAACATGTGAATGATATGAGGGGGGTGAAGGGATGTTCTGGGAGGACGAGCTGTGGTCCGTGCAGTGGGAGACTCAGAGTGGGGATGGAGACAAGCAGTGGCCGGAAGTTTTGCCGGATATAAATAGGGGTGGCCGTGGTTCGAGGCGGAGTTTTAGGCGTGGCCATGCTCCTGAACCTATGTTAAAGGTCCCATGTCATGCTTTTCCGGTTATTACCCGTCCCCTTGTGTGTTATGAAGGTTTTTATGCATGTAAACGGTCTGCAGAGTCAAAAACCCTCAAAGTACACCCTGTAGGGAGTAAAACTCTAACACAGAAAAGACCTCCCCAAAACTCCTCGTTGGAGATTAGATTTCTCATTTTCTTCCTGGGTACTGTGACGTGTGAATACCCAGAGGCCACACCCTCTGCCAGCCTTTCACGAAACAAAGCTTCCCAAACCTTTCAGCGATTCATGCCGGATATGTACAGCGTAGGGCACTGAAGAACGATGCTGTTCCTACTTTGTTTGGACCAGCGGGAGATTCGGGTACACAACCTGTAAGTATTCATTGTTGTTTGTGTATTTATGATGTTTAAAACAAACAAGGTATCTACCACGACTGTTTAAATGGGTAAACGTTTTTCGGGCTACTAAGTTGGGATCGCGGAGAAATGCTCTCCACAGACCCATTCTCACAGCGTTATAAACCTTTTTCTTACTCAATATCAAGCCACACTCATTGTTTTTACTTCGGCTGTGAGTGTTTGTGTGTGCTCAGGATGAGTTTCGCTTGTTCTCGCTGTATCGCCGAGAGGCTCGTTGCTGCGATCTGCTGCGAGGAGCGGACAGGCTTCCGCTCCTCGCAGCAGATCGCAGCAACGAGCCTCTCAACGTCCCGACCAATCAGAGCACACTGGGCTCACAGGGAGGGGGGGGCAGGAGCTCCAACAAGCTGTTTAGGACAGAGAGTGAATACCGGTGAATACACATACTTTACAGAGATGCTGTATGAGAAACCAATGTGAGTTTGGAAAATTGCACAATATAAATCTATTTTAGTAGACCTCAACAATGGAATTATGATCAGTAGAAATGGCCATGACATGGGACCTTTAACAATTTAACCTCATTTATTGTTTTTTTCCAGAAAAAGAAAAACATACATATATACATAACAACACAGCCTGCTAAATGTATGAGCCCACTGTGCTCTGATTGGTCAGCTCGCCCACTCTGTTCTGATTAGTCAACCACCGTTACAGCCAAACCTCAGTGTTTATGTGTTACAATGGCGTTAGCAACCAGTAATGACAAACAGATGAGAATGCTGCGTGGGGTCTGGGTGCCGTGTTGGCGGGACGTTGCGGGGCTTGCTGCTCCGCCCTTTGAGGCTCGAGGAGCGGACAGTGTGAGGTGGATTACTGGTGTTGTTTCGTGGTTGCTGCGTGGGGTCTGCATGCCATGCCAGCGGACACCGCAGAGCTCAGCCTGAGCACCGCGGTGTCCACTGGCATGGCACTTGGTCTATATCCAGCATCCAGGGAAACACAGCGGGAAATCCACCTCACACTGTCCGCTCCGGTAGCCTCTGTAGAGCCTGCACTCTACAGAGGGTGTGCCTATTGTTCTATAGCTGTGTGGCAATTGGTCCATTTGGACTTAGTGACGTCAATAGGCCCTGGAAGAAAAAAATTGAAAAATAAAAATCTACAACGAGGCGTTCTGGGGCAGCATAGACACATATTTTCTGTGTTAGAGTTTTACTCGCTACAGGGTGTACTTTGAGGGTTTGTGACTTTGCAGACCGTTTATATGCAGAAAAAGTTACATAACACACTACATATTTTCACTACAGTAAAACATTGTCAAAGAGTGCATCCCCCAAAAACATTTCCTGCTTGTAACTAAGCCTTACTTTGACAAATATGTAATATGTAAAAATGTTTGCTGTAATAAATTACTTCGGTCTGACAAATTAAAGGTCCCTGTAAGTTTATATTTCTACTAAATTGACCTGATATGAAAAAACACAAAATAACAGAAACATCTCTGACTGTTTTTTAAAATCTTACATGGGTATCTCACAATGTGCTGCTGTGAGCACAAAGTCCCCTCTCACCAGGGCCCCCCCCCACAATTGTGGCGTCCTCGGACTTGCAGCGAGGCCTCCAACAATATAAGAACCATCAGCCCCTGAAATACAACATCACAATTCATTAATCGCCTGTGCTTATCCAAATTGCTCTCAGTTGGCAGTCAATGCTGATTTATATGTCTCATCTTACCATTAAAGAGGAAGAGCAGCAGTAGTAGGGAGCTGGTTCCCATGGTCTCTGCTCAAATCCACACCTTCCACTAATATATAATATAAAGGTCTTGTCATTTTTAGAGAAGTAAAGATATTACTTAGTTTGTGGTCTTTATTGCTTCAGTGTGTTTGCTAACAGTCTGTTGACTTTTCGTAAAAGGATGGTTGGATTACAAAACACGTGTAACTTGCATGTTCAAAACAGGCTTTCATAATAGATGCAAGAAACTTTTAGTGTTAAAGACAACGGCCATATTGAGGCCCACAACGCTTTAAGGGTTAGAACTGCTGTATGTGTCACAGTGTACAAGATTACAATTGAATGTCAACGTTGTTTAGCAAAGGTGGACATTTTGAAAAAAAAGCTACGAATAGACGTTTCCTGGTTCCACCCCTGGCACATTGCAGCCTCTGTCAGAAGTGTGTGTGTGTGTGTGTGTGTGTGTGTGTGTGTGTGTGTGTGTGTGTGTGTGTGTGTGTGTGTGTGTGTGTGTGTGTGTGTGTGTGTGTGTGTGTGTGTGTGTGTGTGTGTGTGTGTGTGTGTGTGTGTGTGTGTGTGTGTGTGTGTGACGCTCCATGTTGGCATGTTTTGTTTTAATGGGCAATTTGGTTGGTAGACTAGTAAAATGCAACTGTAAGATACCCATATTCATTAAAGTGACAGAGACAAAAGCGTGTGTGTGTGTGTGTGTGTGTCGAGAATTTTTACAAACTTTATTTTAATATTAGTGCTTAGATTTAACTCTTGCAAATTGTTGAAAGAATTATTTATCTTTCCTCTTTTCACTAGTTTACATCACATGTATGTGAACAAGAGCTTTATTGAAGAAATAATGTGGTTTAGCGTAATGCAACACATGGTAGACAGAAACGCTCTGCTCTAACATGTAACTGAGTTCCTCAGTTATGTTGAAAATATTTTCAAGTTCACCTGTTGAAACTGCAGTAAATGTCAATCAGGGTTCATACACTTTTTTACAAATGATTTTCAATGACTTCTCCATGACTTCTCCATGACCTTTACCTCATTTTCCATGACCAAATAAATTACGGTACCACTGAAAATGGTTTATTTTAACATGGAACAGGAAAAAATACAAAACAAATCAAATAGTAGGCTTAGTAGCTTCTACAGGCTAAAGCAACTAAAATCTCTCACCAGCAAAATACCTCGTCAGTTAAATGCCATTTTACGTTTCATTACTATACGATACAGTATTTATTATCATTATAGTATTACTATTTTGGCGATTAGATAAAATATAAATTATATTTGATGCAACTTTAGTTAAAGGGGACCTATCATGCAAAATGCACTTTTGTACGTCTTTTATATATGAATATGTGTCCCCGGTGTTCCAGGGAACTCACCAAGTGCAGAAAACACAACCCTCTCTATTTTCCTCCATACCCAAATCTCTAAAAAAGGGGCTGCAACGGATCTGATACAGATCCAGATTTGAACACTTCTATGACGTCACAGAAGTGGCGCTACGGCTATTGGGCCAACTCTCCACCTATCAGGGGAATGTGGGGTTGGGCCACGGCCGGCCATTGTCGCTCGAAAGCGCTGGAGACGCTGTAGTACATATGCCAGGCCTGTAAGTGGCGCTGTAGTCTGCCACAAAAGCAGCGAAGAAGACTTCCCGCCCATAGTTACCATGGTTACCCTTCTGTTTATTCTCCGCTGTGGCTTTTTTTCTCCCTCCCCGAGGCAAGCGTTTGCTCCCGCTGCTTTAATTCAATGCAAGGCAAGCACTGTAATTCTCTCCGGTTAGTCCACCAGCAGATGACAAACACCCACCTCTCCGCCTCTTCCAAGGAACGAGGGGACCGTGCGGCAGAGTTTCAGTTTCAGTTTCTTTCGCCGGTCAAGATGTCCGTTAAAGTTAAATCTTCCGGGACAAAATTAGAAAAGTGCCGGTCAAAGGTCTTCTTTGTTATTTATTGAGCTTTAAAACAAATGAATAACGTCTCTATATAATAAAACACGGAGGACGGAGATCTCTTTTTCTCCCCCTCTTCTGACAGCCCAGCAGCTGATCAGAGCACGGCTACCCTCTCCTGCAGGGGGGCGTGGTCAGCAGAATCAGACCCGTAGACAGCAAACGAAATGAGGCATGGCTAAAATGCATGATCTGTTTGGTATTTTGAAAACAGAAACTTATAAATATACCTTATATAGGTATGGCCCTACAATATATCATTTAAATATAGCATGATAGGTCCACTTTAAATTGCCATGACTTTTCCAAAACTTTGGGAAAAATATTGTTTTCCAAAACTTTTCCAGGGCCTGGAATTAGCTTTTTGGATTTCCATGACTTTTCCAGGTTTTTAATGACCGTAAGAACCCTGGTCAATATAAATACATAAAATATAATATTACGAATACTATCATTCACAACCTTTTCTCTCTCCTGAATGGTCATTCTCCATAATGTACGAGATTTACCAATAGTAGGACTGTTTCATTTTTAATCTATTATATTACATTATCTTATTTATAGTCTAATGGGATGGCATTCATATCTTGGAACCTGGAATAGTTTATTAGCGATGTCATAGGACCTTCACTATGGTTTGCTGAGGTTATATAGCTTCATTGAGCTATCTAGAACATCAACATGTTATATATATTATATTTATATATTTAAAATATTTAAAATAACTTATTTATTTCCTGTTAGGTTAAAACGCAAGTTAATTTATTTATTTCATTGTTTTTAACACACTTCTTCTGTTAATCCCCTTGTATGAGTGTCTTGGCTGACCTGCTGCTCTGACTAAGCAGCTCAATAAATAAATATCTGCCTGCACAATCCAATCTGTTTAATTGAATGAAAGAGAAAACGATATTTGAGAAACATTTTTAATATTGCCATTGCATTAAAGAGCAAACACTCAGTGACTAAGACACATCCTTTCCTACCAAATACAATACAAGTGTGCTGAAGCAAAGCTTTTTGAAATATTGTTACATTTCTTTCTAACATTTCTTCGCTTCAATACAGCGGTTGATGGCTACTAGTCCGCCCCTCAACAGCACTATGCCAATTATGGGATGTCATCATATGCCGTTTCCATGGCAACGCATCCCTCGCCAAAAAACACAATGTTGTCTTAAATCAATGGAAAAGGTTCCAAACGGCACCACACTTCAGATGACAGTTAATGGTCCGGCCCTCAACAGCTCTACGCCAATTATGGGATGTCATCATATGCCGTTTCCATGGCAACGCATCCTTCGCCATAAAACACAATGTTGTCTTAACTCAATGGAAAAGGTTCCAAACTGCACCAGACTTCAGATGACAGTTAATGGTCCGGCCCTCAACAGCTCTACGCCAATTCTGGGATGTCATCATATGCCGTTTCCATGGCAACGCATCCCTCGCCATTAAACACGGTGTTGCTGTAAATCCAATGGCCACAGTCCCATCGTCCCCCAATCTTCACTTTTATATCACCGGTCCATGCCTCAACAGCTCTACGTGAAATCTGAGATCTCACCGTATGCCGTTTCCATGGCAACACATCCCTCGCCAAAAAAAACGATGTTTCCGTTACTCCTATGAAAATCATCCAAATGGCACCAGACTTCAGATGATGGCTAATGGTCTGGCCCTCAACAGCTCTACGCCAATTATGGGATGTCATCATATGCCGTTTCCATGGCAACGCATCCCTCGCCAAAAAACACAATGTTGTCTTAAGTCAATGGAAAATGATCCAAACTGCACCACACTTCAGATGACAGTTAATGGTCCGGCCCTCAACAGCTCTACGCCAATTATGGGATGTCATCATATGCCGTTGCCATGGGGACAGATCCCTCGCCATGAAACACAGTGTTGTCATAACTCGATGGAAAATGGTCCAAACTGCACCAGACTTCAGATGACAGTTAATGGTCCGGCCCTCAACACCTCAATATGACAATAGTGAGTTTTTCTCAAAAGCTGTTGCCATGGCAACGTATCCCTCGCCGTTAAGCACAATATTGCTATAACTCCTGTGTAAATGGTAAAAAAGTGTTCAAATTTCCCATGTGTGCTAACCGTCAAGCCCTCCACACATATATGTGTCAGTTATGAGATATCGTCAAATGTCGTTGCTATGGTAACAAAATGGTCGCCGTGAAACACGGTTTTCTCATAACTCCAGTCAACATGCTCCAAACGGCCCAAAACTTCACAGGTTTGATAACGATGCAGCCCTCAACACATCTAGGAGTATTATGGGGTGTCATCAAATGCCGTTGCCATGGCGACAGATCACTCGCCATCAAACACAATGTTTATGATACTGCTGTAACTCGTACGTATGTATGTACGTTGTCCGATCGGCCTGAAACTTCTCACGTTTGCCAACGGCCGAGTCCTCGAGACACCTACACACACACCTTGACGTGCGGACAACAGCCTGCGGAGCGTCGAAGACCCGCTCAACGCTGCTTGCAGCTTTAATTATCATTGTTATCCACTGGACCCCATCCAGCTACTTGGCACTTTTCTTTTAAATCCTTTTCAGGGTCTTGAAGTTGATTTTTTTCTGGTAGATCTTCTGGTTTTTTGGAATTTATCTTGAGACGAATAAAATCAAAAAGCAGTTTTTCAAAACACAGTCTTACTCTACATTATATGTCAGGTACAAATTGGTTTGTTGGAGCACATGAGTCACTTAAATAAAGGTTATTGCGAGCAGTATTACAGTAAATCAACGTTTTTTTTGTTGTGCTGTGCAAATATTATAAGCAGGAATATTTATTACTATTTGCTTCCCCCCGTTTATTTACATTTACCCCCACTGAATTAAACTCAGTTGTTTAATTTTCTTCAAACCAAGGGACTACTGGGATGAATAAACTTACTTCAATGAGCATGATGTCAGTCCCAATTCCAGGTGGGGGTTTGCATGTGGATTCAATGTGTTCTTTTATTTTATTGCCAGGTTTGCTGAGATGTTGTGTGCCGAGAACAACCATTACTTTTCCTTTTTTATCACTGAAAAATACATCAGTGAGAGGTTATTGTTGTATTTTGTA